ACCTTCCAAAAGCTCCACCTCTAAATACATGAGGCTTCTGGGGAACACTACATCTAAACCTTAAAGCAAAATATTAAGTTGTAAACCACCTGCACATATTACTCTAAAAGACTCTTTATAGATGGGATTAAAATAAGGATCTCGAATAAGGAGATGACTCTGGATTACTAGAGCGAGCCTTACAGACATCATACATACCTAAACCACAATAGTGGAAAAGTGGGCCTGGGCTTGTTGCTACCTTAATGACACAAGGATGTTGCTAAAAATTCCACTTCACAACTAACACATAGAGCTAGCAAATTACCCTGGTTGCCATTTCAGTGCTCAGCTACAGCTGAGAGGTGGGGGCCTTGATACGGCTCCAAAGGGCTACTTGGATTTCCCTGCAGTTGTGGTAGGTGTATTCTAAGAGTGAGTGTCCCTAGAGACACAGGAACAATCTAAAAGGCTTCAGGGGACTTAGCCTCAGAAGTTCCAGAACACCTCCTTTGCCACATCCTTCATCAAATCACCAAAGCCAACTCAGATTTCAAGGGAGAACAATGAGATGTCAGTGCTCAGCTGGAGGATAACTAGAGCACCTGCCACTGTCTTTATCACGATGGTCCTCTTATGTGGCTACAGTTCTGCTTCCCTCTTACAAGGATGCATGTGATGTGTGTGGGGCCCACCCTGATAATTCAGAGGAATGTTCTTATTTCAAAATCCTTGTTTTAATCACATTTGCAAATATCCTTTTAAGGTAGAGGTACAGGTTAAGGGTTTATGACCTAGTATCTGTGGAGTAGGGCACATCATACTCCTTACCTTTTTTTTTTTTTTGGTACTGGGAATCAAACTCATGACCTCAGGCTTGCCAAGCAAGCACTTATGCCACTAAGCTACATCCCTGGCACCATTCCCCTTACCATAATGATCAAAAATGTATACATGAGCTCCTGAATCTGATCCCATGACTTGCTAAAGAAACTCAAGCTTTCTGTGTCATGAATTAAAAAGTATGAAAGCGAGAGGGGAAAAAATTTCCTTAAATGACATCTATGACATAAAAGCTCAGGGAAAATGTCACTGAAATTGATGAGAAACTTAACTATTTCTATCAAATTTTATCCAGTTTATCTGACCAAAATTTTTTCTTTTTTTTAAAAGTAATCACCTTACTGATACATAAATCATATTTTCTTTCTTAACCTTTCCAAAAAACTTTAAGTATGTGAGTTTTAATTTGTTAGTGTTTCAGTGGGTAGTTTGAAGACTTTAAAATATAGTTCCTGTAATTCCAGCACACTGGAAGGCTGAAGAAAGATCACACATTCAAGCCTGGCCAAGGCAACACAGCAACTTAGTGAGACCCTATCTCAAAATTAAAGCAAAAACGCAAACACTGGGGGACAGCGCATCCCAGCAGCACCTCTCCAGTGCTCAACATGGATGAAGGGAGTTCCCCCATTATAGGCAGAGAGGGGCTCACCACAGCGAACAGCAGGACAGTGCCAAGGCCACAGTCAGGGACTCACAGATGACATGCTTGGAGACGGAGGGGAGGGAGCAAGACTGAACAGTTGGTCCAGAGCAAGCTCTTCTCTGTCATTTCTGCAGAGGCCAGAAAAATCTGAGAACAGCGACCGTGCTTGCGGGGTGAAGGGGAGTCTCTAAACAAAGCCTGGGAATCGAGTCATATTTCACTGGCTGGGAGGGGAGTTTCTGAGACAGTATCAACTAGGGATTGACAAAGGAAAAGATGTGATACGCTGGGGCAGAGAATGTCTGGCAACAAACTAGAGGGAAAACTCTGAAGTGAGAATAAAAAGGTTTTTCTAGCACAACAGGAAGTAGGAGTCCAAGGAGAGTTTGGTATCTGGGAAATTAATTTACATCCTCCTCTTCTCAAATTAATTGAGGGAGCCAGATCCTGGGACAGAGACAAAAGACTGCATTTAACCATGCCCTAAGCACAGTCTGCATCAAGGAGGTGGGCTTCAAGAAACTGTGCTGGCCATTAGAGAAATCCAGTTAAAACAATACTGAGATTTTATCTTACTCCGGAAAGAATAGCTATCACCAAGAAGTCAGATAATAACAAATGCTGGCAAAGCTAGGCTGGTGAGAGGAATACTCTACATTGTTGGTAGGACTATAAACTAATACCACCACTATGGAAATAAATATGGAGATTTCTCAAAAATATACAGGTAGAAATTCCATCTGACCCAGCTATTCCCTTTCTAGGTATCTTCCCAAAAGAGATAAAGACATTATATTACACAGATACATGCACACCCATGTGCATAGCAGCACAATTCACAAAAGATAAATCTTGGAATTGCCTATAGGTCCATCAGCAGAGGATACATAAAGAAAATGTGGTATCTATACATAATGGACTACCACTTGGCTCTAAAGAAGGATAAATTAGAGACATTTGTAGAAAAGCAGATGCACCTTGAAAACACAATGTTAAGTGAAATAAGTGAGATACACAAGCTTAGATATCACATGGTTTCTTGCATATGAGAAACCCAAAGTACAAATAAAAGAATAAAATAAAAGACTGATAAAAGGCAACAGGCAGGTAGATCTTTGCACAGTGGAAGGAGACCATGAGCTGGAAGGTGAAGGGGAGGGAGGAGGGGAAGGGAACATAAAAAGATTTAAGATGTGTGGTGTATAGTTAACGTAAGACTCAACAGACGCAAATTGCTGCCCTCCCACCAAAAATCCCCCACAACTTTAAATTTCGCTTTATCTTAAAGCCTGCTCAAAAGTGATCACCATAAGCTCACAGTACCTTAAAACATACAATCATGCACTGCTTAAAGATAAACTCTGAGAAATGTGTCACTGGGTGATTTGCTGTATGAACAGTTCAGAGTATACTTACATAAGCTAAGACAGTTATAAGATCATTAGGTGATATAATCTTATTGGACCATCACTGTATATATGATCCATTATTTATCAAATGTTATTGATAGTAAGCCTTATATATTGATGGTAAGCTTTAGGTAGCTCTTTGAGAGTTTTTCTAAACCAGTTATGATCTCCACTTAGTTTAACGGTGACTATATATTTAAAAATAGATGCAATGTATTTTATTTCTTGAACAACAATAATTTATGTAGGTTGCCTTCTAGACCCTTAGAGTAGATGGTGGCAATCTCAACTAAGAATCAGACTGGCATATGAGCATCTCATTTACGCAGTTCTTATGGGAATTTTGTCAGGGACGGGGTATCTGTTTATAGCATCATTGCCCAAGTTTTTGCATCTGCTTGCATACTCTGGGGATTCAGAGGACTCTTGAATATCCCAGTGATCCTGCAGTGACAACTCCTTCATCAAAGCCACCTGGATCACCTTTCAGGGGGCACTGGAAATCTGACTATCTGACAGAAGGACAGAGGAGCACAACCTGATGCAGAAACACCTAACACCAAATGTGATGCATTCTCTGTAACCCAGAAGGCCGGCACTTATCTTCCGGGGCATCCCTTTTGCTTAGCAATGTCACAAAGGACCTAAGTTACTACTTACAGTCAGATTTAAAAACAAATTCCAATGTACTCTCTAGTTCTCTGTGTCTCCCAGATTCTAATTTTGCTCCTTTTTATAGATACAAGAAATTTTTCCTTCCTTACTTGAATATATGAGAACTTCCATTGTGTATCTTTCCACTGGATAAAGAACAAACAACAGCACCACACATACCAGCAGCCCCACCCTCCATCTCACATACTGACCACTGAGGATACAGGCACAAGCAGGGTCACTGCCTTCCTGAAGACCACACCCGTCAGAGGAGGCAGGCTTACGTCTGCTGTGCTAACTCTCGTCTCCAACACCAACTGCCACACAGAAGGAAGAGGAGTATAGCAAGACTCTCACAGCTCTACAGTGTTGGGTGCTGACCCTTAATTCCTAAGCCGTTCAAACACATCTTTCTGGTCACCCAGGTGCTTATTACGGGAGAAAAGTTTTAACTGCCTATGTGAATTACTAATATCCCCCCTAAGTGCTTTATGTTCCCTTATGCCCTAAAGGAGCAGTTGCTAAAACGTATTTTATGTTATTAATTTTTAATTCCTAACCAAAGTTTACTTTACTTGCTTGACCAACTGAGGAAATTTATTCCTTCTGTGAGACCTTTTAATGGTACATTTAGCTGGATGGACTCATCTAAGTCCACAGACTGTCGTTACACAGCTGAGCTAGTGCTTACTATGAGTCATCAGAGCTTGTTATGAAACCTGTTCATGCGTATTTTACTTGTTATGAGAATTGCACTGTGTAGTTAAATATTATGTAAACTGATTTAATATGAGCGTAGAGAGAGCAGTTCCCACGCACACTCACATGCTAAGTTGGATGCATTTATGAGTCTCTCAACTGCATCAAAGTAGGTATAGAGTTAAATAAAAAAGGAGGAAAAACATCTTAAAAACTTAAAAAAATTTTATACTTGGATTACATCAAGGTTTAGTGTTTTTTCTCCTTTAAAGCAATTGCAAATGGGAATGTTAAACAATGCCTTAAAGTGATTGTTTATGTGGAAATGCTCCTTAGTAATGCAAATGAACAGGTCTATAGTCAAAATAAAGTCACTAAAATTCAATAATATATATATAGATAGATACATTTACATCTTCTACCACAGAGCTATATGCCTCATTGCTCCACTTTTATACATTTTGAGTCAAAATAAAGTACATATGTATATTTATTAATTCCCTTCATTGACTTTTATTTCTTTGGATGGGAAGTCACCATTTCTGATCACAACTGTGTCACTAAGAATGCTGTATTTACCTCTGGCTCAAAAGACGTAAGCCAAAGACACTTGTCTCAGACAGGGCAGATGAAGAACATCAAAATGAGGTCACGACTTCACTACCAAGTCACCCAAACTGCAGACAGTAAGTGGAGCCTTCCTGTTCATCTCACCACCTCTCTGCAGCAATCCCAATCCCCCCCACTGAAAAAGGGATACTAGTTCATACCCATCCTTCTTGTAAAACTCCAGCATCATATTATCCGTGGCGACGCTGAGAGGCCGGCGGGCCTGCTCGGGCTGGCGCCGGTCAGCAGGGTCCATGTCTGGGGAGGGCATTGAACTGTAGTTGGCATTATGGTTCACGTGTACTGGACTCCCGTAATTGCCTGTGATATTGAACTCTATCTCTGTATGAAAGAAAGAATCGACACACATGATCTCTTGGTATAGCACACCTGCCTGGTTGAAGAGAAACACTTCACCCCTGGAAAAATCCACCCTCCAGTTCTATACTAGATGATCTACTGTTAGTAACTCATCCATTAGTATAATTCATCTCACTAATAGGCCAAAGAAGGGAAGATATGTGACGATCTAGATTGGCATTTAACATGTTCATGATGGGGCAGTAATTCTTATGTCTCACTTCTGGGCAGCTTGTACCAGCAGTGGTACACGTATGACTGTCTCATCAGGTGGCATGTCCCACCCAAGAGGACTGCCCTGTGCTGTGCTGCCCAGTAAGACAGTCACGCGGGCACCACTGGCAGTTCAAGCTAGTGGAAACGTGTTTATAATGTCCACTTGTGATTTTAAAAACCTAAAATTTAATAAAATAAGAATAGATGGATATCTGCAAAGACAAAAGCCTCTATTTCATACTTCATGCTTTGGAGTAACACTCCTGAACAGTTCTAATTCAGGAAAATAGCAAAATTATTGAAAGAAAACACTATGGGCACCGTTAGTTAACATTATCTGAGCAATTCTAGTAGACGGAATTAGTCATAAAAAATGTAAGAATCAATATTAATGCTTGTGAATGATAACACTATCTTACTGTAAAACCAAAGAAAACAAATTGAAAAGATTAGAAACATTAAGAGTGCGCTAAGGTGTCTGTTGTTTTTCAGATACATGCATCCCTTCCCAGCAGGGAGAATGGACTTGCTCTGCACAACTTTGCCCGTCCATGCACAGCAGTAATAAGCTCATCCACAGGAAGCACAGAATCACTGTCTTCCACTTTGTCTGCTTTACTGCTTTATCTCGATTTCCTATATTTACTTGACTTTGTGTCCTCAACAGAACTCTTAGGAGATCACAGTTAAAACAGACACAGTGAAAGGAAGACAAACTTCTTTGATGTCATGTCAGCACTGACTGGTCACAGAATTACTGCCATTTTGTTCTCATATGAGTGAGTGGCGGCTGCATGGCTAAAAGCTGACCTTTGATATTTATTACATCTAAGGTACAGTATCGCTTTTCAGGGAGGGGGCAAACACCAAACTTAGTGTAACAATGGCTATCTCTTCAAAACTGCCACTACTGAGACATACTTCTGCAATGATGCATGCATGGCTCAGAACACCTCCGACACTCCCTCAGAGGAAGATGCCTAGAGAGCTTAATTTCAAACCAGGCTGAAAAAAGCATCTCACTGCCTTTGAGCCTCCCCTGTATATACTGAAAGGCAAAGCAAAGGGCACAGCTCAGGGCAGCAAAACAGCAGTAACAACAATCAAGGTGACCTGTGATCAGCAAATGAAGTCCCCGTGGACCTGAGGTTCAGTGTCCCTCTGCGTCTATAAATCAGTTTGGAGCAGAACTTTCTCTCCTTTCTGAACAAGCTTCCCACAATGCACAGACTTGAAGAAACCATGATATGGACCTGAGACCAGCACAGTCCACTGACTCGGTTAGACAGGCAGTGGGCACCTTCATGCCAGAACTTCCCTCAGGCAGGGATAAGAAGGAAGCTGCCAGAACTCTAATATCTGGGTGCATTCGTGGGAATGTCTAATTGTGTGTAGAGAGATTAACAAACCACACAGAAGCTGGGAGGCAGTGGTCCTATGTCTCAAAAGCTCCCAACTCACAGTTGTCTTCCTGCTCCTCTGCCCCTCCCACAACAGCAGGAAGCCGCCACATACCCCCAGGGAAGAACCAGTCCGCGTGCTGGATGATGGGCTCGATGATCCCGACAATCTGCAGTGAAACTGTGGTCATCATCTCGGTGATATTCCTGCAAGCGTGGAGCACGAGGGTGGGATGTGGGGTTACAAGCCAAGGAAGGGTGGTAATGATGTAAACAAGATGACTCCCAGTAACATGGCAATTGTTTACATCTTGCCATCTTGTTTACATCTGCTCCTCTGGCCACCCAGGCTGTGAATGGGCCATGGACTGGAACAGTACAGGCCTACACTTGTGAACCGGCTCTCTCTGGATGGATGCTTCACCTTTCTGAATGAGGGCAACTCCAAGGGAAACGAGTAATACCCATGAAGGCCCTCGCAACACAAAGGGTGGCTCTCATCACTGCCAGGTCCATCCTCTTTCCAACTCTCCTGTCTTGTCAGAAACAGCCCTCCGTCCCTCCCAATCCTGCTGCTGGGAGGGATCCTCTTACGGCAAGAGCCCAGGGGCCTGACAGAGCTTGCCTTGTCTAGTACTACTGCATCCCTTCCCTCTTTCCTGTCATCTGGATGCTGACTTTGATTAGCTCAGGGAAGGTTCTCCCTTCAGACTTGCAGCATTATAGAATTCTGTGCCTATTCCTAAGCCGATAACTTTATATAATAACTAGGACTTGCCAAATAGCTGAGACAGGTAATGACCTGCAGCATGGCCATCCACACCCCCCCCACACCCCGTGGACCCCAGGTCTCTTCTCCTAGTACTCACCCTTCTGCTTGTGGCCATAGAAGGTTGGGTCCTAAGACAATTGCCATGTTACTGGGAGTCATCTTGTTTACATCTTGATATTCTGATAACTTGGATAAAAACTTGATCAAGTACCTGGAAGATAAAAGGAGAAGGGGCAGATTTAACTAGGCCTTGACACCAGCCATGCTTCCCAGGACTGGATGGAAACAGCTTCCACGTAGCATGTCTTACAGATACCAGAAGTCATACACCCCACAATATAATGAAGATGCATCATGTGTTGGAAAATGGGAACTCGGTATCCTCTTTCCAAGTCTCTGAGGTAGAGGCCAACACGGGCTTCAGAAAACACTGGCCAGGAAAGGTCCTCACCTTTCCTCTTGGCTTAGTATAGGATGGCTGAGCTTCTTTCCACTGGTCAAGGTCTGCCATCTGCTTCCCTCCCTGTGTGCAGAGGTGATCAAGTGTCTGGGTAATGTCAGTAGAGGCACTCACACCTGAGGGCTGATGCCCTTGGAGTTACCCTCAGATTTTCTAGAAAGACCTGATGAAAACGTTAAACACAGGCAGAGCTCATGACCTAGCATTCTCCCACACCTGAGAGAAGGAAGTCCATGCCTAAGCTGGTGCACTCATGTTCAGAGCAAGCACTATTCATCACAGCCAAAACGTGGAAACCACTGAAATGCCATCGAAGGATAAACAGATAACACGAAATGCTGTACAGCTGCAGCTGCCAGGGGCTGGTGAGGACATGAGGAATACTGCTAATGGGAGCCAGGTCTCTTTCAGCAGTGATGCAAACGGACAGCGTCGACAGCTGCACAGCTCTATGAATGCACTGAAAGCCACTGACCAGCACACTTTCAAACAGCACAACGCTGTATGAATGACACCTCAATGAATTCCTTATTAAAAAGACTCGGCGAAGAAGCTATATACGAATCAGGCACAAAAGCCAGCCCTGGACACCACCTTAGAATCCCACTGGGCCCTAATAAGAAGCTTCAGGAGCATATGTTTTCTCCAGAATTCTCAGTTACAAAAACCTGTGGTCCTAACCCTGCTTTGCTTGGATCATGACAAAGTAACTTCCTTCGAGTTTTTTTTTTTTCTCATCCTCTGTCAGCTCAGCAGAAAGAGGACCATCCCTGTCATCTTACCAAGTAGCCACTATGTGGTCACTGTGTCACCTCCAAGCACAGCCTCTCCTAACCATGCTTCACCCTTGAAGGGGCCACACAGGACTGCACCAGGACGTGGGACAGCTGAGAGCTGCCAGCCCAGTAGCTGGCCAACAGCCAAGCGCCCTGCTCTTTAGCATGTGGTGAGCTGCACTGACTGGATTTTGCTCTCAGAATTTTTTTAACTGTAGAAAAATATACCTAAGTTTTACCATTTTAACCCATTTTGGAGGTGTGCATTTCAGTGGCATTAAGAATATCCACAGTGTTGGCCAACCCTCAATACCATCCACCTCCACAGCCTTTTTACCTTCCCAGACTGTTCCCATTAAGCAATCACCTCGGCGTTCTCCACTCCCACCAACCCTGGCAACTACCATTCGTTCTGTCTCTGGAGCCTGGCTATTCTAGGTAATTCTTATGAGTAGACTCATAAACATTTGCATTTTTGAGTCTGGCTGGTGTTACTTAGCATTATTTCCTCAAGATCCATCTGCACTGCCACCAAGAATCAGAATTTCATATTCCACTATGCATATACTACATTTTAATCTATTTTTTGCCTGAAGTAACTTGGGTGACTTCTACTTTTGACTAGTAATGCTGCTTTGAACATGGTTTCACAAAAATCAAGTCCCTGATTCAATTCTTTGCGGGGTCATGCTGGCTCACGTGGTGATTCTGTGAAATTTTTTGAGAATCTGCCATATCATTGCTCTTGGGATTTTAAACAGGAAAACAGTTATAATCAGGCAGATGGCAACAGAAGCTGAAGCTGAAAATCTGCGTCTGAAGGACCCGGGGGGGAGAGACAGCAGGGCCAGGAAGGAGCCAGCAAGGCAAGCAGGTAGAGAGCAGGATGTGAAAGGACAGAAGCCAGGGGTAGGAGCAAGATATCCAAAGCAGGGGGAAGTAGCAAAAAAGGGGAAAGACGGACATGTGGACACAGCTGTGTCTCATAAATAGAGGAGCACAGAACACATTCTCCCCCTCTTCCTGCCTTCGCTTCCACGGACACATCAGTCCTCTCAGGCTCCAGCACTAGTCAGTTTCTGTCTGTCCAGGAGCATCTATTTTTTATCATAAATCCCCAATATTTTAAGATACTTGCAAGCTCGGCATGGTGGTGCATGCCTGTAATCCCAGCACCCTGAGAAGCTAAGGCAGGAGGATCACAAGTGAGACCCTCAAAATAAAAAATATTTTAAAAGCTAGAGATGTTTAGTGTGCAAGTCCTGGGTGCACTCCCCCAAGATACCTGTATTATACATTGTTCCTCGCAAATCAGAGGACCTGATTGAACTACTTTATGACTGGTTACTTAGTCTCCACCATGCTATGGCTCCTTGAAGCCTATTTCCTTCCTAAAAAATGGTAATAACTACCTCTGCTTTGTTCACAGGTTATTTGGGACTGAGAAGAGACATGATCACCTAGACCACCACAAAAGGCTGTACACGCTAGTTACTGTGACTTTGACCTAGGAGAAAACTTTAGCTAGGACTCAAAACAACCTTGACCCATGTGTCTTCAGCACCTACTTACCGGATGTTGTTATGATTGGCCTTGGGCAATTTCTCACAAGCATTCCACAGAGCCTGAAGCCTCTTGTCTTGCTCCTGAATACTGGGAAATTAATAGGAAAAGCCATTGGGTGTGAATCAGTGAGGTTTCATTGCCATTCACATTACCTAGAGAGTCATCTTCATACTGAACAGTAAGGAGCCAACCACTGTAACTGACAACATTAGTGAGCTATCATCACAAGTGTTTGGGTACCATATTTCCCCATCTACGCTCTTCTTCTGTCTTATCCTATGCTGTTTTAATAAAAGTTGTTCTGCACACACCACATCTCAGGTGAATGTGCCAGGCTAGCATGTGAGGGTAGGAGGTCAGAGCCAGAGACATGCTCTGGAGTGCAGGCTGTGGCATTAACAGCAGGCCAGTACAGTAGGCCAGTTAGGGAGTTAACTCCTCCTGGAGACCATATTAAGTTCTTTGACATCTGGTAGATAACAGACGCTGAGTAACTTCTGAGTAAGTAAATTATATCGATGTAAAGAAATGTGACCTTAGGAAACATAACTCAGGGAATGGATAATTTTCACTACCTGAAGGATTTTTCACTGCACGAAGTGATTTACTATCAGGGCTTCTTTATTTTTTTTTTAACAAACACACATACATTTACAAAATAACACAAGAACAATACAAGCAATACTGAAATTCAGACAAAGTGATAGGAAATTAACAATTGTTGTTGTATTACATATTGATTTTTTCAAAGTGGTTACGCAGCAAAACAAATACAGACATGCAAGATTGATCAAATAACTAATCCTTAACTATTCCTTTCAATAAAGCAATAGAAGTCAGTAGTACAACTATGTTACTATCCTGTATATACATACAGACATAATTTTCCCCTTCTTTCTTTTCTCTTTTCACTCATCCCAGTTGCTCTTTACTTTTGAGCAGTTTCCTTTTGTTTCAAAATGTCTATCATACTGCCTAATTTTCATTCACTCTTTCAGGTTCTTACACTAGTGAGACAATATGTTGCTTACACATGGAGGTCTGGTTTATTTCACTTATAAGTATGGTCTCTAGTTGTGATCATTTACTTGTAAAAGCCTCAAGTTTATCTTTCTTCATAGCTGAGTAATATTCCATTATGTAAAAATACCACAACTTTTTATCCATTCCTCAGTGGATGGACATCTGGGTTGTTTCCACGATTTAGCTATTACAAAGTGTGCTGCTATAAACATGGGTGCACATATATCGCTGTGATATGATGTTTTCAGTTCTTCTGGGAAAATACCCAGAAGGGGAATAGCCAGGTTGAATGGGACCTCTAGACCTAGTTTGCCGAGGAATCTCCAAACTAATTTTCCACAGTGGTTTCACCAGTCTGCACTCCCACCAGCAGTGGAGAAGAGTTCCTATTCCTCCACAGCCTTGCCAGCATTTGTTATTGATTGATTTCTTAATGATAGCCATTCTTACTGGGATGAGATGAAATCTTAATGTTGTTTTAATTTGCTTTTCTCGAATGACTAAAGATATTGAACATTTTCTCGTCTATTTATTTGCCAACTGTATTTCTTTGTCTGAGAAGTGTGTATTCATCTCAGATGCCCATTTCTGGATTGGGTCTTTGAATCTGGGAGGGCTGAAGTTTTTTAATTCTTTGTATGTTTTAGATAGAAGTCCTTTAGCTGACTGTCTAAGGGACAGTCAGATAAAATTTTTTCCCAATTTGTGGGTTTTCTTTTTATTCTGCTGGTGATTTCTTTAGATGTGCAAAAACTTTTCAGTAAGATGAGATCCCAGTTGTTGATTCTTTGAAGTATTTCTCATGTGGTTTGGTTTTTGTTCATGAACTCTGCCTACCCCTATGTCTTCAAGGTTTCTACCTACTTTCTCTTCCAACAGATTTAGTGTTTCTGTTTTAATATTGAGATCTGTGATCCATTTTGACTTGAGTTTGGTGCATGGTGATAGACCTGGATCTATTTTCAGTCTTTGGCAGGTGGCAAGCCAATTTATCTAGCACCATTTATTAAAGATGCTATCTTTCTTCCAGTGAACTTGTTTGGCCCCTTTGTCAAAGATTAAGTGGCTGAGTGTGTTTGTGGTTGTGGCTGTTTCTTCCAGTCTGTTCCACTGATTCTTGGGTCTGTTTTTTAGCCAGTACCAGGTCGATTTTATTACAGTAGGTCTGTAGTATAATTTCAGGTCAGGGATTGTGATTCCACCTGACTTGTCTTTGTTGCCCATGATTGCTTTTGCTATTCTGGGTCTTTTCTGGTTCCAGATGAATTTTAGGAATGTTTGCTCTAGATCTGTGAAGTATGCTAATGGTAATTTAATGGGAATTGCATTGAATCTGTACAAAAATTTTGGTAATATGGCATTTTCACAATGTTGGTTCTTCCTATCCATGAGCAAGGAATATTTTTCCATTTACTGAAATCCTCTTCAATCTCTTTTTTCAAAGTACTGTAGTTTTCACTGAATAGATCTTTCACTTCTTTTGTTAGAGGGCTCCTTTATTTATAAAGCCCATTGTTTATCAGGGTTTCTTTACAAGCTCATTGGTAAGTCTATTAGATTCCTCCCTCTCTCTAAGTATTTATCTTATAGGGTTACATGTTTACTTAAACCTGTATCAAGGCCTATATGGTGGGAAAGTGTGGAGAAGGACATTCCTTAGTTACTATTTTGTGTGTTGCCTGAGGTCTGACCAAGCCATGACTGTTGGGTTCTGGAGGAAGTCTAGCATAAGCATTGTAAGCCTCAGGATCAATAGTAGATACTTTGCTGAGATATGTGCAAAGGAAGATAACATGATGGCTTTCTGGTCAGCCTATTCCTATGATAATTGAGTTGTATTGTCCTTGCTCAAACAGTTGATACTCTGGGGTTCCTCTGCTGCCTCCTGGGTGGATTCTGAATAAAAGGTTACTGAAGATGGTAATCCGGAGTCAGTCAGTCCTGGAGGCTGCTAGCACCTGATCACAGGATTTTGGCTGTCTTGGTTTGATGTTTTTCTTACTTTTCTTATACATCTGCGGGCACCTAGCTTGGGGGATCTGTTCACCCTGGACAGAGATGGATGTGAAGTCCTACAGGAAAGCATTACATTCAAAGAACTTTTTCTCCTGAACAATAGAGATAAACACTACTATGGTGAGGTCCCAGGGATGTGGCTGGTATATCTCGAGGTTCCCCTATTAATTCTGACCAAGGGGATATTCTTTCCTCTTGTTTCAACCCTGAGAAAGAGGCAGGCATTATCCACAAGGAACTTTAAGTAGGAGCCCAGTGTGGAAACCAAACATTCCATTTAGAAATGGAAAGTAACAGCTTATAAGCTGTGGCCAACGCCTGACCACAGTGGGGCGTGTGTAGGGAGCCTCAAGACGCAGCTCCACCCTGACTGCGATCTTGGGCCAATTCTTCAGCTTCTGTGAAACTTTCTTTCTCTCTACAATGGGGTTCATAATAATACTGCTTCATACAGCTGGTTAAAGCTGTATAAAGGAATCTGTACAAAGTGCCCAGCTTTGTTGCTAGTTCATTAAAAGCTCACAATCAAGCTGGGCGTGGTGGTGCACGCCTGTAATCCCAGAACTTGGGAGGCTGAAGCTGGAGGACCTCTGAAAGTTTTTAGTATTTTTGGAGGCGGGGGGCACTGGGAATAGAACTCAGGACCTTGTGCTTGCCAGGCAGGTGCTCATGCCACTGAGCTATATCCCCGGCAGGACTGTTGCATGTTTGAGACCAGCCTCAGCTACAAAGTGAGTTCAAGGCCAGTCTGAACTGCATCGTGAGACCCTGTCTCAAAAAGACAAAAAAATTAAAAATTAAAAAAAATAAAATAAAAGCTCACAATCAAAATTACATGCTGGCATTTGCAGCAGATGTTGCTGCCACTGTTGTCCTTTGTGTCATTTGCTAAGGCAACTTCATGATACCCGGCCCTACTCCCCTTTCTGTTCAACCGTTCTTAAAGTAACAGGTGGTACAGTTAATGGCAGGGCACTGCTTTGGACAGACCTCAGTCAATGGACCCCGAAAGACCAGACCGGACCAGAATGGGCTCACTTGTACTGAGTATCATAAAATCAAACTGAACTTAGAAAGGTCCAGTTTTTCAAAAGCAGGAGATTCACAGCAATCAGAAGAGGCCTAGTTTTCCTGAGACAGCATGACAAGGACATGCCCTCTGTTTTAGCCCTGTAAGAATAGTCACTCTGAAACGACCAACTTGCTCTTTGTTCCCTGTTTCTCCTCCCTTAGCCTTTTCTGCCTACAAAACCAGCCTCACCTGCAGCCTTTGTCACTGCCTGGTCGCTGCAGACAAAATTCTCATACCCACAACTTAAAGAGGGGAGGTCTGTCCTAGCTCATGGTCTTTTACGATTCAGGCATACCCAGCTGGCTCCAGGGCAGGGTGGGCATGGTAGAAGGGTAGGTGGAAGAAAGCTGTTCCTGGCAGTCAGGAAGCAAAGACTAAAGGGAGGAGCCAGGGCAGGAGCTAGGCCCTCCCAGGCCACGCCCTCCCAGGCCACAGCCTCAAGGATTGGTCTCTTTAAACCAGATCCCACCTTCTAAGGGCAACTCACTGATGAGTGCAGCACCTCCTGATCCAGCCATCTTCCAGAAACCCAGCTTCTCAACACAAGCCTTGTGGGGATATTCAAGGTCTATACTGCAACACCTGCTCAGCTCAGGGACACCCACCCTGCAGCTGCCTGCTGTCCAGCTCCTGGATTACAAAACTAATGAGACCCTTAGAGTAAAGCTGTAGTAATTTTGCCTCTGACAAAGGGCAGATGATGCTCAACTTTGTATTTACTGAAACTCAGTGAAGGTGCACTAAGCTCCCCGCTGTGTCAGGCACCCTCCTAACGGTTTGGAAGTAAGTGGGAGCCAGCATATCGCCCAGGTTATAATGCACCGAGCTCTTCTCTTGCTCACTTTATGCATTTCAATTATATATTCAGTTAAAAAGGGGGTGTTTCCGTTAAGGACTATGGTATCACCAGCACCAGTTTTGCTCTGGAGAGGCATCCAGTGCTGTGGGTAAGCACAAGGACCTGGACCTGAGAGGCTTGGATTCAAGTTCTCACTTGGCCATATATCAGCTAGGAAGTAACCCGCTGCTATGCACCCTTTCTGTACCTCTGTAAAACGATGAGGAACCTGTTCATAAAGTTATTGTGAAAACTAAGTTAAAATCTGTAATGAGCTCAGAGCAATGCGAAGCCTCTAATAAGCACTCAACACATGGTACCCTTTATTAATATCACCATGGAATCCACTTACTCATCACAATGAGATAAAAGAGTATCACATACTCAGCAAGCCCTTTAAAAAGGCACTTTAAAAGGTATTATGTAATCCAGCCGGCACGGACTTTCCCTGACCGCACATTCGAGTTCAGCTTCACTGGACAGTCCTGCTGAGTCTCTTTTAGCCTCCAGTCCTTCAAGAAGTAGAAAGGATCAATAATAAATGTCTCAGGGGATGGATATGCTATTTATCCTGATCTGATCATGGCACAATGTACATGTGTATTGAAATATCCCATTATACCCCATAAGTCTGCACAATTATGTGTCAAGTAAAATTTTTTATTTTGTAAATTAAAATTATAAATCATTCATCACAAAATTGCTATTAGCATCAGATACATTCTCCAGGGTTCTTTCTGAGAAGCTACGCTGCTTGTCCTTGAGATTCAGTTCCACAACTGGAGGTCTCTAGAAATTCTGTTCATAGCATCTTGCTAAGTAGCCACTCCCTCCAGGCTTCCTCAGAAACATGTTCTCCCTCCTTCCTCTCTTCCTCTCTTCTGCCTGGACAACCTCTGCCTTTGTCTCCACCACCATCACTCTGGTGCCAACTCACCTGCCCCAGTGTTGTCTACTAGTTAATGCAGATTACTTCCAATAACAGCACTTCCTTAAACAGCTCTTACCTATGGCCAAAGAGAACACGTAATACCTTCCCAACGCATGCAGAAACTGAGGAAAGAAGCCAGGAATCACAAGAGAAGACCATACTTTAGAGCGTGTCACTTGGTGGTGGCTTCGCCTGTGGCCTCTGCCCCCCTGTTCGCTCTCTTTATTCTCCATCGTCCCAACCCACCACCGGTCCTGGGCTTCGCTCCTGTCGCTCAGGCGCATCTCCAGGACTGAGTGGCAGCAGGCAGGCACTGCCCACATGCTATGTTTTTCTATTATTAAATAGCTGCTGCTAAATATTCCTATTACAGTTGAGGGTAGAGACCCCCGCCCCACTCTCTGCCCCCACTCTTATCACTGCCACCACCTGCATGAGCCTTTCCAGGAGCACCTTGTAGGCACAGATGCATCTTTAAAATTCCATTATCTGAGTGTGTAAGGAGTTTCTTTTTCTTTTTACAAAAATACAATACTGTATGTGTCCTCATTGACTCACCTTACTTTACTCAATGATAAATCTTCTCAGTTTTTCACACGGGCCTGCGCAGCTGTAACTGTTTTCTAGCTGCTGCAGAGTACGTCACAGGGTACACACAGCAAGGCTCAGTAAGCCAGGCCCTCCGCACTCACACCATCCAAGGGCCTTTAGCCTTCCTGACTCCTACTATCCCAAACAATGCTGCAATCAGCATCCTGAGCATGTCTCTTTGGGAACCTATCAAAGCACTCCTTCATGACAGATATCAGGAAATAGAGCTGCTAGAACCCAGGGTAGGATCCCACACTTTCAGTAAATACACTCAGCCCTCTGCAGTGCTTGGTTCTCATCCATGGATGCAATCAACTATGAACTCTGCACAGTGTTAGGCTTATGCTGGCCACACCTGTTCTAAACATGGGCAGACATTTTTTCTTATCCTTAATCCCTGAATGATACAGTATAAGAACTATTTACATAACATTTACACTACACGAGGTACTACATTACAAGTAATCTAAAATATATGAAAGGATATGTGTAGGTTGTTTGCAAATGCTATACATTTTGCATAAAGGGCCAGAGCATAAAGTGGTTCTGGAACCAATGCTTCACCAAAACTGAAGGACAACTGTTAATTCCCAATAAGCTCTAACCCACAAGACACCCTACACAAGGTACTCACTTGGAAGCCTGGATCCACTCGTCATAGAGTTCAAAGGTCATAAGAGGTTCTGGCAGCTCTCGGAGGTAAGATTTCAAAGCCCCTGAACATAAATACAATAATGTCTATGAGGCATTATGGCACAACAGATACAGGCTTCACCACCCTGCGGCATCCACATGGCTCCACTGGAGAAGGGTCCCCTAAGCAACATGACAGGATTCAGAGGTGGATTCTCACATGAATGAGCCTGGGTTCTGGCAATGGGATCTGCACTGACAATTGCTTTGACCTCTCCCCTGCCCCCCAATTTCTCACTTGACCTCATCTCTTGAATATGAGGGAGACCTCCCTTCCAGGGGCCAGAGCAACCAGGCAGAATACTGGGCGCTGAGTGTACACACCTAAAGCATGTGAGGAAGCCACTTCTTTTGGTGTTGCTGACATGGAGTCACAATCTGTGTGCTCACCCTTCCCTGGAGTCCCTGCTGAAACACCCTGCTCAGAGGCCATGGGCACCCACCTGCAATAGCATGGGGGTCGGCTGAGTATTCCTGCACGTCCACCACACAGCAGTCTAGCGCAGCTTTAAGCTTCTTCAGCTTGGAGGCAGAAGGAGCTACACGGAAGAGGCCCTACCAACAGGACAGGGGGTCAGTGCACAGCCTGCAACTCAATGACATAACAGCTAAATAGAAACATGCAAAGCTAACACAAAGAAACATGTGCATTTCACCCAGAACTACGTGTCAGCACTGTGACTTTCCATCTCCTCCTTCCAGCATAAGCAACTCAAGAGCAAGAACTGGGTCTCCTTTACCCACCCTGCAGCTTTCACCGCCTAGTGTCAGGGTGGCTCATTGCACTGGTACATTGTACTGGTGTATATAAGACTTCTTGTTCTCATATATTTAAGATAAACTTCGCAGAATAATTTGATGGAGACATGAGCAGAGGTTGAGGTCTAGCAAGTTGGATGGGAAAGGGCCTATGATGTGTGTATGTGTGTGTGTGTGTGTAAGTGTATGCATGCACGTGTGCACACACACTGGGGAGCTCCAGATAAAGAACCACACAGAGTCTATGAACCAAATAGTCTGTCCTCAGAGAAAGGGCAGACTGGGATTGGTGTGTGAGGGAGTCCCCTTGTTCCGTTGTTAGTGTTACTTTGAAACTGCTTTCACTTCATGCAAATGAATCTCTGCGCTTTGTAGAGCAAAAGTAAGCTACACACAGAAAGAGAAGAGGAGGACAGGGGTGTGCAGAAGAGAAGACAAACACAAGTCAAGTCTGGAAAGGGGCCTCCAAGTCTCTGGGAAGCTACACACGAAGCCCTCTCAGTCTGTTCCACCCTGTCAGCCCTAGTGTTCTGTGACATAACCCACAGACTAAGAGACGAGCTAGTGGACTACTCCTTGCTCCTTTTTTTTTTGATTTTTGATTTTTTTTTTTTCTCGGTATTGGGAATCGAATTCACGACTTTGTGCTTGCCAGGCAGGCGCTGTGCCACTGAGCTAAATCCCCAGCCCCTACTCCTTGCTCCTTAAACTTCTAGGTCCAAGGAGTCTTCAAGGTCCTTTAGAAGACAATGTTCCTGGTCTGGACTAAGTTTTTGGCCACTACAATGTCTCACTCTCTTCTCGATAGAGAACTTGTCAGATCAACAGGTGTCCAAACCTCTATGGCATGAGTGGGCAGGTTGTGTGAACATATTTGGAAATGTATCTGCAAGGCTGTTATGACAGACACAAAAGGAATGGTTTAGATCTTCAAAAAACCAAACCAATGCCAAGCAGGAAGAGCCAGGAGTATGTGGCAATGGACAATGCCAAGGACAGGGTCAGAATGCCAAATATTATTGCCACCTCTCACTTTAACTTTCCATAATTCTAAACATCCATGGCCAAGTACAGTCCGGAAATACTAAATGGAAAGTTCTAGAAATAAATAATTCATAAAGTTTGAATAACTTATTGCAATGCACTGCTAAAACTGTTCTACTAGATATTATTGTTACCTCGTACTGTGCCTGATTTCTAAATTAAACTTTATCACAAGTGTATATGTATAGAGAAAAAGCATACTGAATATAAGGTTTGGTTCTACCCATGGTTTCAAGTATCCACTGGGAGTCCTGGGACATATCTCCTGTGGTAAGGAGGGAATACTAGGTAAGCCTTTAGATTTTGATTGCATAACTCAAAGAACACTGTTCCATTGAGGGAAGGACTGCTGAGACAGTGAGTCATTTTCGAGGTAGTAGCGGAAAACGTGCATAGGAATGTTGAAGAATGACAGCAAACACAGAAATGTAGCCCTCTCACTGGAAGAACCCTCACAGAGGCTGAGGTGAAGCCACAGAAGTTGATGACCCTGCAGGGAGGCGTGGATGGAGAGCAGGGCAGACAGAGAGTGCCGAGCAGGACATGCTGTAGGCCCTATGTTCTGCTCAGAATTAACAGGAGCCTCAGGCAGCCACTGCTTCAAAGACAGTACAATTAGTAACATCAGGTACTGGTGTAGCCAGGGAGGTGGGGCCTGGGCTATCAGATCTGGCAACCTGGGCTCCTTGGGGTCACTCCTCAGGGGATGGAGTTTTAGCTCAGGGCTAGGGACAGAAATGACACCACAGGAGGAAGATCAGTAAATAAGTAGTGTTAAAGATGCACAAGAAGCAAGTCTTGAGAGTTATTTTAAGAAAATGGGGCAGCGTAAAAAACTAATGAACTAGGGAAGGAACATGAAGTTGCAGATTGGTTGAAGGAACATATTTTTTCTTTCTAGGCTGCAGGAAACCTGAACATATTTGTCAACAAAGGAGAACTAATGAAAAGTAGGGAAAAAGGAAAATAGGAAGGAGGTAGAGAGGACAGGAAAGAAAGAAAGAAGCAGAAGGGGACAGAGGGAAATAAGAAGATCAGGATGTAAGAAACCACTCCTCAAGAATCAATTTACACTGACTAGATGTTTGATGATGCTAATAAACTATATAATAGTACTATAATATTATAGTATTTGAATATTATACTATTGTAGCTATATTTTAAAACATTCTTTATCTTTCAGAGATACCAGGTGTGACTAAAAGATATGGTGAATGTTTACATTTTTCAAAAAATACTACATTAAAAGACACACTGCCATTAATCTCCCTCAAAATATTCCTGCTTGCTTTGGGTACACTTATGCCATCCCTCCTGCTACTCTCTGAGGCAGTTAAGGAATAAATATAGTCAAAACAAAACAAAACCACAACAACAACAACAAAAAGAAACACTTTTTCCCACTCCTTTTTTGAATATCCAGCATCTTAAAAAGGTCTGGCACATAGCAAGCAACCCACATAGGTTTGAAAGTTCACGGACTTCTTTCTCTTCCACAGCCTTTGATGGTCCACTTATACTAATACTTAAAGACTACGCCCTGTTTTGGATTAATCAGGCTTACTGGACAGATGCTAGACTCATCTCTACCAAGGAGTTTTTAAGCCCCCATCTCATTCTTAGACTTTGCTCAGTAATAAACATATGACATGCTCTAAATAAGTATGGATTGGTTGATTAGGTCACAGAAAGATAAGTAAAGATATTAAAATAGCCTAAGGAAGAAACTAAAGATGGATCTGTCTCCCTGGAAATGATTTAAACAGCAATGAAAACAACTGCCACTGATCTTTCATAGTTTGTTTATTTATTTATTTATTTATTTTACACAGGGCTCTTATAAAGCACTTCCTAATGTCTCCATTAATTAGATTTCAAGTATCTCTATTGAAGAGTTGTGATCCTAAAGGTTAAGAGGTCTACTGCGAAAATTAGAAAACTTTTAAACAAAAGGAGGAAGAGGACAAGGCAGGTGAGGTGAAGAAGGAGGGAAAATTCATAGTAGTAGAAGCAATTATAATATTGGGAATAGTAATAGCAGCAGACTGCCAAAATCACCATGTCATATTAAATATGAAGAAACAATGGCTAGAATCGGGTCATATTTTACACATAATTCTGACATAATTCTCATGTCTGGCCAGTATCAGTCTCCCACAGTCCTTCATTCTCCCTGTAAAAGTGAATGCTCCTGGGACAAAGCAGGATAAGTTAGTGTCTGCAAGACAGGGTCTGTATCCTGCACCTCTACATGTTTGGATCTGAGGGGGCTGCAGTGGGGATGACAAAAGGCTGAAGGCCTCATAAGCTCTGCCTCTGGGAGGAGGCCTGCTGGAGGCTGGGGCTGGCCAGCTCTGTCCTACCTCCTCCTGCATGCCACATTCCAGCAGCATTGTCACACACGCCTCGATGGGGAAGGCGATCTCCCGGCCACTGATCGTGAGGTGCTCCTCCAGAGGCTTCCCGAAGGAAGGCTTCTCCACCCAGGCCTCTGCGGGGGAGGAGCAAGAAAGGGGTCAGTCTGCAGCTCAGAAGGCCACTCGTTTTGACATCTTTCTTCCCCACTATCGCCTAGTCTCTCTTGGGGCTACCAAAGAAATGGTGGCACTAAGGAATCTTCATTCTGGTGGTTTTAGGGATGATGGAGACAAAGGCAGATGCGGACAAGTGGCCAGCCACAGCAAGCAAGGTTGGGTTAAAGTAACCCATCCTGATTCACCCCCAGAGAGAAGCAGTGCGTACGGATGGGTGTGCTTGGCTTCACTGTAACTGGATCAACAGCAGTTTGTGAAGTTCTGGTGACCCCATCTAAATATGATCTTCAACAGTGGAGCACCAGGGTGAACAAACACAGGGAATAGGTCTCATCTGGAGGGCAAGCAGCTCTCCAGCCCCCGACCCCACCCCTAAAGCATGCACTTACCTTGTTGTGCTTTTATTTGAGGCAACACAGCCTGTAGCAGTGTCAGAGATTTCCTGTGGTATTCAGCTTGCACTTCTATTAGCTGAGAAAATACAAGGGCCAGCATTACCCTTTGCCAAGGGCAAGAGCACAGGCTTTGGTGGCATGAAAGTGCCTGCTCACTGGGGAAGGAGCTGGAGCCCCTCCCTGCTCCTTCCTCCAGTCCACCTACAACCATGGCATGCTTTATCCTGTGTCACAGAGGAGTCCCTGTATGCTGAAATTTGTGTAGCAGGACAACCGTGAACGAACAGGAGAGCCTCTCCAGAGCTAGAACCTAGCTTAGGGAACTTGCTTTAGTCACCCCCACATCACCTGGCACTCCTTCCTCAAAGCAAAAGGCAGCAAAGAGCTGTACAACAATAGGTAGATATAAATAGAAAAACAATTTTAGAAATTCATAACATACTTACAAATTCACTGGCCTGTAAGATATACAGGTTAAGTTAACCTGTCTATGTCTTGATTTCTGCCAAATTAGTTAAAATATAGGACAGATCAAAGAACTTATGACTCAAGCCACTATCCTCTTCAAGTATGCTGGGAGGTAAAACTGCTGTGGCTGTGGGGATGGGGTCCACAGAACAAGTCCTTCAAGGAGTCGTACTGTCAGCCTTCCATTACTTAAATAGCAGCTGAGATGCTGACAAGGGCCGCTGAAAACCCAAGTGCAGTCCCTTCATTCACTTTCCAAGTCCCCCCTTCTTTCCTAAAATCGGGCGTGTTATGAAAGGTGTGAGTAAAGAAGCGCTCTGCATCAGTGGTTACAGGGGAGGTAAACATCAATAACGCTCTTCTGCAGGGTGGAAGGGACACGACTGGGCCCCTGGGCCATGACTGACAGTGCTGGAAAACTGCTAACAGCCCACAGTCATTTTGTCAAATTCCACAAGGCATTTTATACTTATCAAAATTTTTCCTTTTGTTCCTCTTTACCCTCTTGCCTTATCATTCCATCTCTTTCTTGACCATTTTTTAGAAAGTATTCAGATTTTAGTGTTTTATTCTCAACTTTAAAGGTAAGCACTTTCATTCTTTGTTATTGCTCTATCCATGCTTTTTTTTTTATTGCCTCGCATTTACTGAGCAGACAGCTATCCTCCTAATTATCTGAGCTGGATTACTTCAGTTTCCATGACTCAGATTCTGCTACTTCCTGCTTCTTAACTCTCAAAAACCCCTTGCATTGCTAAGAGGCAGGCAAACATTCTACATCACTCACTGTTTACCTACTTGCTACTGTAGGTAGTAGAGGTGAAGTAGTTATCATCCCAATCTCATCAGGTCCCTGCCATTAGACAAATTGGTTTCTCAATACCGGTCCTACTGACATGTTGGGCCAGATTAATTCTTTGTGGTAGGAAGCTGCCCTAGACACTCCAGGGGGCTTCATAGCACCTTGGCCTCTTAGCTACTAGATGCAGTGTTACCTTCCTCACTGCTGACAACCACAAATGTCTCCAAATACTGCCAGATGTCCACAAAGAAAGAAAGCAAAACTACTCTTAGGTAAGAATACTGCCACAGATAACTGAAAGGCAATGACTTTCAGGGATAAGGTGGGGTTTTATTCTTAGATTTCTGAAAGAAATTTGGACAAGAAGTAGTAAAAGGTAGAATGATTCAGCAGTAGAAAGGCAACCCCCACTTTATCTGCGATATGTTCAAACAACCAAGAGTTCTATACCCACATTCCCTTCCTGTCTGCACCAAGACTTTGGCCAGGAGACTTTTCCAGTCTTGCTTTCCTGGACCCTTACCGTTTGAAAGTAGTTTGCATAGTCAATTTCTTTGGCCACAAAACTGTACATGTCAGCAGAGAGCTGGTCCTGAAGAAGAGAAACATAAAACCAAGGTGAAACATCAAGTAATCTGCGGGCTAATCTCTGAGTCTAGACATCACAGGAGAAGGACATTTAAATACGGTTTCATTTCCTTCTAATAACTTTTCCCACCAGGGACTCCACGTACCCCCACTGCAGCACTAAAGAATGAGTGAGTGTGAAAAGTGTGCCCATGTGAGTGGTCCTCCCCCCCCTCCCGGTTTTTAGCACATGGGTCACATCTACAGCTAACGCCAAAGCTGCTGTCAGGAAGTGATGTGCAAATTACTTCCAAACAGCTCTATGGCTGGCAGCACCATTCTGCTGCAAGCACCAGGAACAGGCAGTGCTGCGTGCGACCCCCTCCCCGCACCACTTTCCTCTGGTCACCCTGCAGTCCTGCTTGCCTTCCTTCTCATCACCGATCCTCAGCACATACAGCAGGGATGAAATGCAGCAATTTGGGGAAAGCATGGATAAGACAGGTGCACAGGGAAGGGACTGCTGACTCACAGCTTGTCAGACACTGAACTCGCCCCACAGTGCACGCAAATCTAGTGACATCTACTGTCCTTCACCAGTCAGCTTTCCACGGGCTTGAGTGGCATTGATCTAATGCTATCCTAGAAACTAGAATGTTTGATAAAACATTCTCCAAAGAGATATTCTTCCCCCAGAGAAATATCCACAGCGTCAGACTGTAAGTGTGGATTCGGAGCAAGTAGGCTCTCCCACTAACTATGATTAAGCATGTCAGTTTTCTGAAATTATCTGTGGCAGACATGAGCTCTCTAGTGTCCACGAAGGATGTGTGTAGTTGAGAGGAGCCCGTGTGATCAGGCTGAGGCAGGCCCAAGAGCAGCACACACACAGCATGAGAGAGCAAGAGAGCGAGAGAGCAGACCAGGACACTGAGTGGAGGAGGGCTTCCGGAGAGGGGCCTCAGGAAAGCACAAGCCATCTGCGCCACCCTGGCAGCTCTCAGCCTCTCCCAGTGAGCTAACTCCCAGTGGAAACACTGGGTGTGCACAGCAAACTTTCCTTTCCAGGATCTGTGACAGGCAAGGGACTGCTGAGAACATCATTTGAGAGTTCTTGTATACAAGGCAACAGCACCAAGTCAGGGATAAAGGAGGAAATCTGTTCGTTAGGGAGTTAAAGCACAGTTGAGGTGATACTATGCTTAGTCCAGCTGTGAAGAACAAAGAAAGAGGAAAATGAGTAACATTCACTGAGACCTGACCAGGTGCCAAGCATGCTGTTACACTGAATGCTCTATTAAGCCTCCAGAGAGAAGGACATGTCCAATTTTGGATCAGCAGGTGATACGAGTTCAAGGATCTTACCACTCCCTCAAAATACTCAGCTTAGCAGGGGCTTAAACTCTTACCTGTTAAATGAACAGATAAGGAAATGGACTCAGAGTTGGCAAATCTCCCAAAGAATAAAACAAGTTCGAGGCCAGCAGAGGTCCCCTTAAACAAAGGTCCGTGAAGGCTGCCGAGCCTCACGAAGGTTTCAGAGATGGCATCCCGTCTGGATGCTCCTTGCACTTCACCTGCAGCAGTGCTGGTCAGGAGGCACCCATCAGCAGCTGCCAGCTTGAGGGAGGTATTTCAGGATAGAAAAAAATAAACAGTCGAGAGACAAAACTAGGTTGGAAGACAGAAGAAAGGAAGGCAGGCCCTGAAGGACTAAATGCTGCACTGAGGCCACCATCAACATCTCAACACCGGAACTTCTCAGACAGAGGAAATCGAAAACACAGTGGGCACCCTCGGGAAGATGACAGGACTGCTGAAGGGTGACGAGATCACTGTGCTATCAAATGCATAGTGTGATTCCAAACAAACCACACTGCAAGGAAGCAACTAAAGTGAAAACTGCACGTCAAATTTCCATTTCTCTAAACCATTCACAATTTTTCTCTTGAAGAGAAGAAAAAGGCTCGTCTAGTCAATGACGACTAGAGTTTGACATAGCTTTAAAAATCATGTTTTCTGATTTTGCAGTGGCTCTACACTCAGAGAAACGTAACATGACCAAGTGTACTGGTCATTTTACCAGGCAGAGATCTCCACTATAAACACTGAGCTACGTGTACTTTGTATTTGTTCTATCTAGTCTGATTTTTCTGTATGATTACAAAAGTGAGACCAGACTGTTTTGTAGGGTAATTACTCCCAGATAAACATGGTTTGTAATGGCCTCACATCTTATTATATGGATAAACTCTGTTTCCATTGTTCGTTATTGTGTTTCTATTTTTCCAGTATTATAATGATACCTGAATAATTATGTTTACACGTTTGCATCCATTCCTTGATTACCCCATGATAAGTTCTATGGTTAAAATTAATTATGATTATATAATATTTATAGTTAATTAAAAAATTTAAAAACAAAATAATGATTGGGACTTTGATACACACTACCAAACAGCAATCAGAAATATCACATTGCATACTATGAAGTATAATTAACAAATGTCATGCTTGTTTTCCAGCACAAACTTTTGTTGTTGTTTTGTTTTTTGTTTTTTGACACAGGGTTTCCACTATGTAGTTCAAGGCTGACTTTTGAACTCACTATGTATCCCAGGCTGGTCTTGAACTCACAGCAAATCCTCTTGCCTCAGTCTCCCAAGTACTGGGATTACAGGCATGTGCCACAATGCCCAGCAATAAACTTTTTATTCCCCTTAATCACTATTAAATATAGCAAAATTAAAATGATTTTAATTGTATTTTTCAAGATACTAACTTTCTTTTATTTTTATTTTTAATTCTTTTTATTTTATTTTTAGTTTTGGGTACTGGGAATTGAACTCAGGACCTTACTCTTATCAGGTAGGCATTTCTGCCACTGAGCTATAATCCTGGCTGCTTAACTTTCTTTCAGACTTATTATCTTTGTTTATTATCCATTGTCAATTTGTTGTCAATAGGCAGTATTATTTTTCTTTCTTGAGAGGCCTCATCTTCTTACAGTAAGATTTGTAGGAATTCTTTCAAATGAAAAACTATTGGTTTCATTAAATACACAAATATTTCTTCCCAATTTCCCATTTGCCTTCTGGAGCATTGCCATATTAGGGGAGATACTGTGCCTTTTTATCTTGTATGCTATTACTTTTTTTAATCATTTCCTCCTTTGGTAATATACTGTACTTACAACTTCTCAACCAGCACTATAAATATGCATATACATGTGCAATAAACAATATAACTTCTAAATGTTTAATAAATTTGGAACTCATTTTGGTATTTACCTCAGATAGATATTTTTTTTCCTCAACAGCTCAATGAATGCCCTGGCATTGTTCATAAAGAGCACAGACTGTGCCTATGGATTGGAAATGTCATATTTACCAGAAAGACGTTTCTCATGTACTTAGATTTTCTTTAGGCTGGAGTACCTCCCCGCAAAAGGTCTATATTTTAAAAATAGTACCTAAATTTTAGTTATGCAGCCCTATGTTGTACTTTAAGAGGTTGTAATTCAATGCTCCTACAATCCTCCCACATTTAACTCTAGAAACCTTTTATTACTCTTTGAAAAATTTACTATACTTACAGCTAGTTACCACCACACTACATAAATCAGTCAAGCTAATTTCAGATCATTCAAGTTTTATAATATTGGCTCTTTTCCACCCAGGAACATTTCTCAAAATTTATACAATGTTTTGATTTTTTTCAGCAAGAGTTTAAAATATCTTAAACTTCATGACTTTATCCTAACAACCAAAAAACAAAGTAAAACATTCCCTTCCCCAAACAATGAATAAGAAAACAACAACAAAAATAAGCAAAAATAAAAACAAGCCCCACACACATCCAAGAGGCTGATCAGGAACTGGAACCAGCCTTGTAGGGGCACACATCTACACTTCCAGCGTTTGGGGAGACTGAGGCTGAAGAATCAAAAATTCAAGCCCCAACTGGGCAATTTAGCAACTTGGTGAGACTGTATTTAAAAATAAGAAAGGACTGGGAATGTAGCTCAATGTGAACACCCTGGGGCGGGGCCCAGAAGGCTTTAAGCAGATAATACGAAAGAAAGCAGACAATGTAAAAGGAAGGACAGATAGATGACAGAAGAGATGGAAATGCTCAGTATCAAACAGAAATGCTGGAGATCAAAACCAACAGACCAGAAATGAGTAAGGGCACTGATGAGCTCATTAACACACTGGAGTCAGCTGAGGAAATCATCTCTGAATTTATGGTTACGACAACAGAAATGTTCAAACTTGAAAGGCAAAAAAAGACTGGGAAAAAGGAAGAGAATATCCAAGCTCTCCGGGATCACTATGAAAGATATAAAATGAGCATAATGAAAATACAGGTTGAAAATCTGTAATCTGAAAATCTAAACACTGAATTTCTCCAAAATCTGCAACTTTCTGCATGTTCACATGACATCCTAAGGAGAAACCTCCACACCTACCCTCGATGGATCACAGTCAAGACTCAGGGACTCAAAAAACATTGTTTAAAATGACTTCAGATTATGTATATAAGGTGTATGTGAAACATAAGTCAATTTTGTGTGTATACTTGGGTCCTGTGCTCAACATATCTATTATGTATGACAAATATTTTTAAAAATCCAGTATTCAGGACATGCCTAGTCTCAAGCATTTGAATGAAAGATACAACATACAACAGAAGAGAAAAAGAGAGAAGAAATAAAAGCAATAATAAGTGAGTTTTTCCCAAAGTAATCAGACACTAATCCACAGATCCAGGAAACTCAGAAAATACGAAGCAGGAAAAATATCCAAAAAATTACACCTAGACATATCATGTTCAAAGTTCAGAAAAACAAAGATACACAAAAAATCTTGAAAAACCAAGAAAGCCAGAGAGAAAAAAACACCTTGCCTATGGAGAAATAAAGGTAAATATTATATTCAACTATACCTCACAAATCATGCAAGAAAAAGAGGGGTATGAAATATTTAAAGTATTCAGATAAACTCAGAATTCTATTCAATAAGA